AATTGTCTCTCCTTTTGCTGAATTAGCAAGCTTACATGCTCACAACACAAGTCACGAGCACTTTTGTGGCGTCCATGTCCTGTCCTGCGATTTTGTGGCGGTGCTGTCATGTGGTAGCTGTTCAATGAAAAATTAAAAAAGGGTCTTTAAAAAATTGATTAGGTGGGTGGAAATTAATTGGCATTAATACCCCAGCCGCCTATATTACTCGTTTTCTCGTTTCTGTTAGAAATGGGATCTGATCACTGATCACTGATAGAAGCCGTACCAATGGTACGGACTGTGAAGACTAATAATATAATGGTAGAAAGAGTTTGTTTATGTTGCTCCTGTTTGGAAACAAATTCTTCAAAATTCAGCTGGGTTTTGGTCTCTCAAGATAAAAAGAATATTATTTTTAGTACTCTGAATCTAACAATTGTGAGAGTAAAGTGAATTGTGTGGTAGGGTTGAAAGAGGAGGAGTTTGTGGCTGAGGAGGGAGAAATGTTGTTGGTCATTTTCACAGAGCACAGAGAGTAATCTTCACTACGTAATCTAATTTCGTCCTTTGGTTATTGCATAAGGAAAGAGTTGTCGTGTCGTGTCGCCACCTGCCCCGCCCCGCTCCTCGCCATTGAGTTACAAACTTGGAATTAGAAGTGTTTATTAGCAAATAATAAATGTCTTATCTAAAGGACAGATTGTGAAAATTTTGATTAAGTTACTAGATTTAATGTCACTTTTTAAAATTTATTGGTGTACAGGTAAATGAATTCAAATGTATTCTGATGTCGTGCATAAAGATAAAGATTGAAACTTTATTCTTATAGTATAAAGGAAGGGCAGATTGAACCCAACCGATTCCTTATTTATAGTTCCACTATGTTGAATTTAATGATTTTTGAGGGGTGGTTGAGATTTGAGTCAAAATGGGAAATCCGGGGGTCAAAAAGGTCAGAAAAGTGGAGATCTTTAGAAATACTCTCTTCCTCAACTTTAATAATTTATAAATAGAAAAAAATATGGCTACCGTCAAAATAAATAAACAAAAAGAATCCCTGTGGCTGTGGTTGGTGGGTCGCTGAAAGGAGAGTGGTTTATGGGATTTGTGTGTTCTATTTGGGCTTTGAAAGAGGTAATTGGACACTCATCATTTGGGCCAACATAACTCCTATTGTTTCTTCCAAATATGAGCTAAGAGTTGAGAGAGAACTAGAGAAAATTGATTAATTTATTATGTGATTAACATGTGCATGTTTAACAAATCTTTAATAATCATCTTCAATGGTTGGATCCAGTTAAATCATTCCTCAAATCTTCAAAGAGCCTGTTTTACAAACTGTTTTTAAGAATTGTGATTAAACGAAGCACTACTTACAAGTGAAACCTATCATTTCAATGACTAGAAAAATGAATTGTCATTAGTCCTAACATATACAAATTGCTGACATAACTCAATGGATAAAACATCAATTATCTTTCTTGAAGTCGAAGATTTCATATTTATGGTACTGAAAGGAACATATAGAAATTGCTGGAAATTTTGTCCCCTTTCCTTTGTAGGAAATAGGGAAAAAGAGAGACAGGTGGGTGGGTCCAGAAATGATCCAATTTGACCAGAGCAGAGCAGAGCAATGCATCTGAAAGTTTGAAGGCAATGAACCAACACACCAAATATGCTACTCTCATCACATCATAGTGCTATCCTTGTAAACCCCAACTACCACCACCCATTTCTGTACAACCTTCTGTTTCTCTTCTTTCCCCTTTTTATTTTACTTCTTCATCCATTCTCCCATCTGCAAAAACCAAGAAACAAAGACCTGAGAAGTTGTATGGCTTTCCCCTGTTGCCAACCATTTGCTCCTCTGCACATTGCAACAAATCAATGGAGCCCAACATTGATTTCAGATCAATTTAGACACAATAATAACAAGATAAACAAATGCTTCCCTCCTTTATTGTGCATAAAAGAAAGACAGAGAAACAGAAAATGATGCAATTGGTACTTGGTAATGATGTTATTATCAAAGCGTAAATGGGATGAAAATGAAGGGCGTGGATTAACATTAGACCCACGCTTCAAGACAAAGGCTATTGATTCTCCTTAATACACACACATTTCCCCAAGATTTCCACTCAACTTCCTCTGTATTACAACATTTTCCATAACTTCACCAAATAATTGATGTCATGGGACCCCCCCACCCCCTTAATCACTTACCTAAACCTTTATTTTATTACTTTATCAACTTAACCAAACCCGACTAAATTACTAATGTTAATCTACTGTTTTTTTTTTCCTTTTTCGTAAGATGTCTTGAATTTTAAGTCAGGGACTCTTGAGACTGTGGGAAAAGAATATGAGGAAAGGTAGTTCTTTTATCACTCTTGAGATGAGAAAGTGATTTCATTATTGATGTTTTGACTTGCGTGAAATTTCTTACTCAACAGTGAAATCAGATTGAATATTTCACCTGATGAAGAAAGTGAGAGACTGGTACCTTCCAATGGGAAGACTGAAGAAGTTTCATCAATGAAAACAATGATGGTGGGAGGAGTGGATATCAACCATCCCATAATTCGGCATTATTATTAAGAAAACCCCACCAAAATTGGGGTTAGACCCCATTAATTATGCTACAAAAAAAAAATATATATATATATTGTAGAACACAGCTTGTAGTGCACTATAAATTGGGTCCCCTCAACGTCTCCACTGTCAAACATTTCGCTCACCACTAAAAATTTTCGTTTCGAATCAAAATACAGAGAAGAAGAAGAAGAGGAAGAAGACAGACGCGGAGAATCTATCAATGGCCACTAAAGTTTACATTGTGTAAGCCTCTCACAGTCCCTTCCCTATCTTTTTCTTCCTCACAAGATCAAGAAATTTAAACCCAGATTCTTTTTCAATCATTTTCTTTATTTGACGCTGCAATTTTGAAGTTCTCTCTTTAAAATCGAAACCATTAAGGTTAAAGTCTCTGTTTTTAGTGATCAAAAGAGATCCTGAAAACTCTTAGCCTCTGTCTTAGCATGTTTCCATTAGCGATCACCATGATTCCATCAGCTAGCTACCTTGTGCTCTGTTTTCTTTTTTGTTTTGGTCTGGTCTGATTTTTCAAGTTTAAAGCTGAGGAATCTATAACTTGTCGTAACTTACTAGCTTCATTTCATTTATTCTTCTTTGATGTTATTAACTTCTTGCTGTCTGCATTGTTACCTGTCAATATCTCTTTCATTGTGTTATAATTTCTTAAACATCAGCATGAATGAACAATAAGATGAGTTTAAGACATCAATCAATATCTTTTTAAATGTTTGTTCCACCGAACATGTCGGCAACTTTAGAAGGTCGGCCTCAGAATTTGTCTCACGAGCTCACAGTAAAAAGTGTTCTCTAATTACCATGCTCAAGTTATATGTTTTCTTTAAGCATTCTTGGGTTACTTGTGAAAGTGGGATCTTTAGTTGACAAAATAATGAGGACATTTAGCTGTCGTATGTGAAAACTGAAGTAATTAAGAAACCCAACCTAACCTGTTGAAATCATGTTAGAAATTTTTTTGGCTAATTATGTGGTCCCAAATTTGGACTTTCACTTCTCATTCCTACTGCTTATTTTGTAATCCACAACTATAGAAACTTCCACTAAGATCCATTGCTTAGCTTGTGTCATGTCAATGTATACAAGTGTTGTTTTACTCTAAATGAAAAGGTAAATTGTCTTGTCTCCATTCTTACCAAATTTTTTAGCTGTCATATTTCTACCTTACTTTTCTAGAAAAAGGTTGCATCTTCCTCAACATTTTCCCTCGGGTTCTTGCACAGTATTTCATTGTTTGTCTAGGACGCGTCTTCTCGTGTCGATTCCAACAGAGGATAGCTACTAGAAACCATGACCAATTGTTGTTTGTGATACAGTGGGTTGTCATGTTGATACAAAAACCTTAACGAATTAGCCTAGGGACTCGTTGGTTATGTGAACCTTAAGACATAAATACTAAAACCACAAGTCAATTTGAATCAGAAAGCCAGAAGCTAACTACTTATAGGTTGATGACTAAGAGATAAGAAAACTCGTTTTAACTCAAGGTCGAAACACTCCATAAGCTTGGAGACCAACCAAGACTTGAACATTTCTAAATTATGCAAGACTAAAGACTCTATGATTCATATGACACAGAAACTTAAGACAGTTATTTATTTGAAACTTGATGAGTATGTTGTACAGTTACTATTCCACATATGGACATGTCTTGAGGCTGGCAGAGGAAATTCAGAAAGGAGCTGCATCTGTGGAGGGAGTGGAAGTCAAATTATGGCAGGTACGACATCTAATTGGCGTCGTTCATTTCTCGGATTAAGATCTTCTTACATCTATTGACATTACGTTATACATGCAAATTTTTCGTCTATCCATCAATCTCTGATTGCTAAGGAACTATTCACCTTTTGGCACGCTTTTGCATCCATTTTTTTAGTTGAACATACATTGTTCAAATTAAGTACAAACGGCAAAACAAGAGGTTTTATCTATAGGTAAATGTAATCTTTGCTGATCCATCAATTTCCCTGCACCGATCATCGAAAATTCTGCATACATTTTTTAACTGCATTTTGAGCTTGAAGTATATATGTGCAGAGTAATATAGAATATATATTGAAAAGTTTAAATGATTTTGGGGACTGATTTTGGTTCTGAGTCTCCTGAATGAGTAAATATTACTTAAACAGGTGCCTGAAACATTGCCGAAAGAGGTTCTCGACAAGATGCAAGCACCAGAAAAGGGGGAAGCACCAATAATTACACCAAACGAACTTGCTGAAGCTGATGGTTTACTCTTTGGATTTCCCACGAGATTTGGAATGATGTGTGCTCAATTCAAAGCATTCCTGGATGCAACTGGAGGTTTATGGAGAACACAATCACTTTCGGGCAAGCCTGCAGGCATTTTCTATAGCACGGCTTCTCAAGGAGGTGGACAGGAGACTACTCCGTGAGCCTCTTTTCGACAACCTCCCCGCTCTTGTGCATTGCTTTTAAACTACCGCGTTTCCCTTCAACCAAACTTTTCAGAGTTAAAAATCATAGTACTGAAAAAGATTATCTAAAATTTTGTATTGCAGCTTAACAGCCATTACTCAGCTGGTTCATCATGGAATGCTGTATGTTCCGGTTGGATATACGTTCGGAGCGGGAATGTTCGAGATGGAGAACCTCAAGGGCGGGAGCCCCTACGGATCCGGAACATTCGCAGGCGATGGCTCCAGACAGCCCTCTGAACTGGAACTGCAGCAAGCATTCCACCAGGGAAAGTACTTTGCTGGGATTGCAAAGAAGCTCAAGGGAAACTGATTGTTTTCCATAATATTAGTCATATAATTGTTCCTGCCATGCTATACTTAATTATTTGTTCTCTCCCTTCTATTACATATATAGCAGTTCTCTGTTGAAGAATTTGCTAAGTCCTGTTGAATACCTACTTTGTCTTTGATTGGAGTATCTATTGAAGCTTACACAGCTACTAAACATTATTATATCTATTTATGAAAATGGCTGGTACATATTTCTCACTTGTACCAAAAAAGCAGGCAAAACTGGGCCACATATGGAGGAGTGGTTCTAATCCAAGATTGCATCATGTTCATGTATGCTGTGAAATAAGAAATGGGCCAACAGCTACAATAAGATTTTAAAGTGGTCCAATCTGTTAAAATTGTTTGGGTTTGAAAACTACCAATATTGAATTATTGTAATGCCATTCTCTTAACAATCTAGTTAAAAGAAAACTGTTGAAATTTGGGTACTGTTTAAGTAGATATTAGGGGGGAATATTTATATTTAGGGAGATAATGATGAACAAAGACAAAAAGTCAATCAAATATTTTTGGAAGAGAGGAAAAAAAAAAAGGAGCGGCTACATCAAACTTTCTAAAATGGGGGATTTGGGCCAAGTGTGTGTTTTGATTCTTGAATGGCATACAAGATCAGATTCAAAGTTACGAAAAGAAATCACACTTTTTCAAAACTCAGATATTTAAAACTTCAAAGAGAAGACACAGATTTGAAGGAAGAAGTTCGTTTTTTCTTTTTCTCTCTCTTTTTCTTACAACACATCCAAAACAAGCAACAAAAAGAAAAGGGCAATAGCTGGGAGGATGCTCTCAAAGCTGCCTTTTCTCTTTTGAGTATTCCTTTTTCTTTTCTTAAATTTTTTTGGGGGGTTCTTCTTTTGATGAACCATATATACCATAACCCAAAAAGAAACTAAAAGAGAGTGGAAATTCTACATTAATTTCTCGATTAGTCACACACACAGAAGAAAGAAAGAGAGAGAAGCAAAGGCAAAGGCAAAGTACTGATCCGGATTCTCAAAGGCAAAGACATGGTATAAAATATAATACCCATCAACCCATCAAATCCAAGTCACAAAAAAGATGACAATTTCTAATACCAAATATTTTAGCCACAAAAGCACTTTCCCACATGATTGGTCACTTCTCAAAATGGTTCTTCCACGTTAAGCTTCTGCTTTTGCTTTTGCTTGCATGTACAAATATATGTGTGTATATATAAAAAAAAAAAGTTACCTTTTTTTGCATATGTTTTGATTGGTTGTATTAAAGAAGAAGGGTGTGATTCATTTTAACATGTCAAGCAAGCTAAGAAACTATTAACAAAAGAGGTAATTATTAGGGATGAGATTAATTAGCTGTCAAGCTTGCTTTGGTAACGATAAAGATGACCTTAATCTTCACTTTGGCTCTTTTTTTTTTCTTTTTTTTTTCTCTCGAATTAAGACATTAAATTATTAAAACCTTGGACATGTATGAATGATTGATTGGATGTCTTCAAATAGTTTTTCTACGTTATGTAACAGATAAGATTATTTATGGGGTGTGATGCATGCATGGTTAAATATTGCAATAATATTGTATCAAAAGAAAATTTGAAGACTTGATGTACCATGCCAAATATAATATATATTTCTTTTTCTTTTTTTCCTCAAAATAATAATATATATTTCTTTTAAATTATCTTGGGTGGTAAATTTTTTACTACCCTTAGAATAGTGATTTTGTTTTATAATTAAAGTTGTTTAGTGACAAATGCATTTTTTTAAAGAAAATTCCTTTCAATAATAGTTATCTTGTTTTAGTTTCAAGTTTTCTTTTAAAAAAATTAGGTTACTTTGTTATTCGTAACTTTTATTCATTTTAATTCATGTATGTTTAAAATTTACATTTTTATTCTTGTACTTTCAACTTTTGTTCATTTTAGTTCTCATACATTCGAAATAATCATTTTGATCTCTTCATTTTCTTTAATCACATATTTTACTGTCAACAATTTGAGTACGATAGTACACTCAATAAATTACTTGAAATGTAACTTTCAATGCTATGTTTTGATCTTGTATGTCTAATTGGACTTGTGGTATGAACATCTACCATATTATAAATTACTTTCAATGAATTCTTATTTTTATGAAAATTAAATCAATAAAATTGAAGACTTTTATATTAGGGAGTTGTCAACTAAAACACAATTTTATTTGTGTTTTAAAAAGGAAAAAAGTTTAGAAAACCATACATGTAAATAATAAATTGTCGTTTATCAATTACATAAAGTGGGAATCGAACCATCAACTTTTTAAGGTGGTAATAGATGTTTTATCCACTTTATGATCGAATTGAAAAATATACTTGTTTTTTATTTGTAATTATTTGCTCTCTTAATATTATATTTAAAAAAAATGTAAACCTGAGCCTAAGTTGTCAAAGCACCTATTTTTTACTAAAAGTTCAAATTTACACCCTCGCATGTTATACTAAAAAAAATATACTTTTTAAGATTTTTTTCAAAAGTAGAATAATTTCTCAAAAAATTATAATAAACAAATCATGGAACACACTTTAACGAGTACAAAGATTTGTGATAGAAAATACACACTAACATGATGTTATAAAGTTCAAAACCGATATATGGAAGTAATCAAAAGAACATGACACCAGTCACTCAAGAAATATATTCTCTTGATTATCATATTCCACAGGCAGACACGGATTACTTTCCATCCTCCATTCCATAAACCAAAACCTTTAGTATATTCATAAAATACATATGCTAAAAGAAAAAGAAAAACCATTCTGACTAATAAAAATCCCAAGAGAAAACACATATATTTGATGAGAAAATTGCAAGTGTAATATTGATATTAATTGTGATTTTTTTGTGCATTGTGAAAAGGCAAGCAAAACGGGCATGGCATTGGCCCCTTCCCAGAGCACGCGCGCGCATGCAGTAACAAGTGGGCCGCGCGCGCCCCGCCCCCTCTGCCTCTGCCTCCTGACCAAAATTATAACATTAACAAACACACGATTGATGCTCTTTTTTTCTATATCCACAGTTCAATTTCAATCCCAAAAGGAAACAAAACAAAAGGCAAAGTTTGGTTCATACAGAAACAGATCATTTGAAAGGAACAGGAACACATGGGCCAACTCTGTAATTCAAC